GTCAGTTAACATTCCCCGGGAGTTAGCTTTCTCTGTTTAGTCAGTTAACATTCCCCGGGAATTAGCTTTCTCTGTTTAGTCAGTTAACATTCCCCAGGAGTTAGCTTTCTATGTTTAGTCAGTTAACATTCCCCGGGAATTAGCTTTCTATGTTGAGTCAGTTAATATTCCCCGGGAATAAGCTTTCTCTGTTTAGTCAGTTAACATTCCCCGGGAGTTAGCTTTCTATGTTTAGTCAGTTAACATTCACCGGGAGTTAGCTTTCGATGTTTAGTCAGTTAACATTCCCGGGGAATTAGCTTTCTCTGTTTAGTCAGTTAACATTCCCCAGGAGTTCGCTTTCTATGTTTAGTCAGTTAACATTCCCAGGGAGTTAGTTTTCTCTGTTTAGTCAGTTAACATTCCCAGGGAGTTGATTTTTTATGTTTAGTCAGTTTACGTTTCCATGGAGTTAGCTTTCTCTGTTTGTCAGTTAACATTCCCAGGGAGCTAGCTTTTTATGTTTAGTCAGTTTTCGTTCCCAGGGAGTTAGCTTTTTATGTTTAGTCAGTTTACGTTCCCAGGGAGTTAGCTTTCTCTGTTTAGTCAGTTAACATTCCCAGTGAGTTAATTTTCTCTGTTTAGTCTGTTAACATTCACTGAGGTTTTTTTTGTGTTCAATCTGTTAACGTTTTTGCACATCCCAAGGAGTTAGCTGTCCATGTTTAGACAATTAACGTTTCCAGCGAGTTCGCTTTCTTTGTTTAGTCAGGTAACATTTGTATGGGATTAACATTCTCTGTTTCGACCGTTAACATTTCAGGGGAGTTCGCTTTCTATGTTTCTGCAGTTAACAATTCTAAAGAGTTAGCTTTCTGTGTTTTGTCTGTAAACATTCCAAGGGGGTTATTTTCAGACAGTTAACATTTCCAAGGAGTTTGCTTTCTCGGTTTAGTCAGCTATCATTTATATGAAGCTAACATTCTGTGCTTCGACTGTTAGCATTTCTGGGGAGTTAGCTTCCTGTGTTTCTACAGTTAACAATTCTAAAGAGTTAGCTTTCGGTGTTTTGTCTGTTAGCATTCATAAGGGGTTATGGAGTTAACTTCTTTTTAGTTTCGACAGTTGACATTTCCAGGGAGTTAGTTTTCTCTGTTTAGTCAGCTAACATTTATATGAAGTTAACATCCTGTGTTTCGTCTGCTAATATTCCTAGTCAGTAAGTTTTGTTTGTGTTCAGTCTGTTAATATTTCTGCACATCGCAGGGACCTAGCTTTCTATGTTCCTCGTCAGTTAACATTTCTAGGGAGTTCGCTTTCTGTGTTTCGTCAGTTAAAATTTCTAGAGAGTTCGCTTTCTATGTGCCTTCTGTTGACATTCCTAGTGAGTTAGCTTCTAGTTGATATTTCTAGGAAATTAGCTATCTATGTGCCGTCTGTCGACATTCCTAGTGAGTTAGCTTCTAGTTGATATTTCTAGGAAATTAGCTATCTATGTGCCTACTGTTGACATTCCTAGTGAGTTAGCTTCTAGTTAATATTTCTAGGGAATAAGCTATCTATGTGCCTTCTGTCGACATTCCTAGTGAGTTAACTTCTAGTTGATATTTCTAGGGAATTAGCTATCTATGTGCCGACTGTTGACATTCCTAGTGAGTTAGCTTCTAGTTGATATTTCTAGGGAATTAGCTATGTATGTGCCTTCTGTCGACATTCCTAATGAGTTAGCTTCTAGTTGATATTTCTAGGGAATTAGCTATGTATGTGCCTTCTGTCGACATTCCTAGTGAGTTAACTTCTAGTTGATATTTCTAGGGAATTAGCTATCTATGTGCCTAGTGTCGACATTCCTAGTGAGTTAGCTTCTAGTTGATATTTCTAGGGAATTATCTATTTATGTGCCTTCTGTTGACATTCCTAGTGAGTTAACTTCTAGTTGATATTTCTAGGGAATTAGCTATGTATGGGCCTTCTGTCGACATTCCTAATGAGTTAGCTTCTAGTTGATATTTCTAGGGAATTAGCTATGTATGTGCCTTCTGTCGACATTCCTAGTGAGTTAACTTCTAGTTGATATTTCTAGGGAATTAGCTATCTATGTGCCTAGTGTCGACATTCCTAGTGAGTTAGCTTCTAGTTGATATTTCTAGGGAATTATCTATTTATGTGCCTTCTGTTGACATTCCTAGTGAGTTAGCTTCTAGTTGATATTTCTAGGGAATTAGCTATGTATGTGCCTTCTGTCGACATTCCTAATGAGTTAGCTTCTAGTTGATATTTCTAGGGAATTAGCTATGTATGTGCCTTCTGTCGACATTCCTAGTGAGTTAACTTCTAGTTGATATTTCTAGGGAATTAGCTATCTATGTGCCTAGTGTCGACATTCCTAGTGAGTTAGCTTCTAGTTGATATTTCTAGGGAATTATCTATTTATGTGCCTTCTGTTGACATTCCTAGTGAGTTAACTTCTAGTTGATATTTCTAGGGAATTAGCTATGTATGGGCCTTCTGTCGACATTCCTAATGAGTTAGCTTCTAGTTGATATTTCTAGGGAATTAGCTATGTATGTGCCTTCTGTCGACATTCCTAGTGAGTTAACTTCTAGTTGATATTTCTAGGGAATTAGCTATCTATGTGCCTAGTGTCGACATTCCTAGTGAGTTAGCTTCTAGTTGATATTTCTAGGGAATTATCTATTTATGTGCCTTCTGTTGACATTCCTAGTGAGTTAGCTTCTAGTTGATATTTCTAGGGAATTAGCTATGTATGTGCCTTCTGTCGACATTCCTAATGAGTTAGCTTCTAGTTGATATTTCTAGGGAATTAGCTATGTATGTGCCTTCTGTCGACATTCCTAGTGAGTTAACTTCTAGTTGATATTTCTAGGGAATTAGCTATCTATGTGCCTAGTGTCGACATTCCTAGTGAGTTAGCTTCTAGTTGATATTTCTAGGGAATTATCTATTTATGTGCCTTCTGTTGACATTCCTAGTGAGTTAACTTCTAGTTGATATTTCTAGGGAATTAGCTATGTATGGGCCTTCTGTCGACATTCCTAATGAGTTAGCTTCTAGTTGATATTTCTAGGGAATTAGCTATGTATGTGCCTTCTGTCGACATTCCTAGTGAGTTAACTTCTAGTTGATATTTCTAGGGAATTAGCTATCTATGTGCCTAGTGTCGACATTCCTAGTGAGTTAGCTTCTAGTTGATATTTCTAGGGAATTATCTATTTATGTGCCTTCTGTTGACATTCCTAGTGAGTTAGCTTCTAGTTGATATTTCTAGGGAATTAGCTATGTATGTGCCTTCTGTCGACATTCCTAATGAGTTAGCTTCTAGTTGATATTTCTAGGGAATTAGCTATGTATGTGCCTTCTGTCGACATTCCTAGTGAGTTAACTTCTAGTTGATATTTCTAGGGAATTAGCTATCTATGTGCCTAGTGTCGACATTCCTAGTGAGTTAGCTTCTAGTTGATATTTCTAGGGAATTATCTATTTATGTGCCTTCTGTTGACATTCCTAGTGAGTTAACTTCTAGTTGATATTTCTAGGGAATTAGCTATGTATGGGCCTTCTGTCGACATTCCTAATGAGTTAGCTTCTAGTTGATATTTCTAGGGAATTAGCTATGTATGTGCCTTCTGTCGACATTCCTAGTGAGTTAACTTCTAGTTGATATTTCTAGGGAATTAGCTATCTATGTGCCTAGTGTCGACATTCCTAGTGAGTTAGCTTCTAGTTGATATTTCTAGGGAATTATCTATTTATGTGCCTTCTGTTGACATTCCTAGTGAGTTAACTTCTAGTTGATATTTCTAGGGAATTAGCTATGTATGGGCCTTCTGTCGACATTCCTAATGAGTTAGCTTCTAGTTGATATTTCTAGGGAATTAGCTATGTATGTGCCTTCTGTCGACATTCCTAGTGAGTTAACTTCTAGTTGATATTTCTAGGGAATTAGCTATCTATGTGCCTAGTGTCGACATTCCTAGTGAGTTAGCTTCTAGTTGATATTTCTAGGGAATTATCTATTTATGTGCCTTCTGTTGACATTCCTAGTGAGTTAACTTCTAGTTGATATTTCTTGGGAATTAGCTATGTATGTGCCTTCTGTCGACATTCCTAATGAGTTACATATATAGCTTCTAGTTGATATTTCTAGGGAATTAGCTATGTATGTGCCTTCTGTCGACATTCCTAGTGAGTTAACTTCTAGTTGATATTTCTAGGGAATTAGCTATCTATGTGCCGTCTGTTGACATTCCTAGGGAGTTAGCTTCTAGTTGATATTTCTAGGGAAAATAGCTATTTATGTGCCGTCTGTTGACATTCCGCTAGTTAATATTCCTGTAGAGATAGCTTGCTGTGTTTCCTTAATTAACATTTTTATGAAGCTATTTGTCTGTTTCATCTGTTATTATTGCTATGGTGTTCGTTTAATTCCTCAGTTAACATTCATAGGGATTATTTTCGTGGGTTAACATTTATAAGGATATAATGATCTGTGTTTCGTCGCTTAACATTCCAGGGGAGTTAGCTTTATGCGTTTCGTTAGTTATGAGTTAGCTTTTTGTGTTTTAGTAGTTACTTTCTGTTGATTACATAGTATTGTTCACTACTTGTAGGATGATTAGGCTCATTACATCTGATATTCTGACATGTATTGATCATTTACGACCATCATTGTTCATGAAGCATTACACTGTTCTAAATCAGCTTAGCAAGTAAGCACGATTAGAGGATCGATTGCATTATTTCAAGGTGTGAAAATTATATTCATACACATATATATTTGTTATAAAATCTCATCGTCACTTACAGTGTAATTTTCAAATTATTACCTAATGATTCCATTGACGTCATTAAGGACGATTGGCGAGGGAGTGCCAAAGTCGCCTCCCGCAAGGCTGACCACTACGCGTCGTCACTGATGTTAATGGCATTGTGTGAGGATATTGGGTTTATCGGAAGATGTTTGAACTTTGACCCTAACATAGTGACAATAGTATTTATGTAAGGAATGAGCCTACGCTTGATTAGGTTCGTTGTCTGTTCATCACTATTCGTGTTACCTGTCAGCGATTTGTGTGATTTCTCTGCAAACTGAAGGAAAAGGTATTCGCAGGTGAGTTAGTTTTCAAAACTATTTGTTCTATCCTTATATGTATACAGAATACTGAGTTTTAAAAAGACAAATAACAATTACAAACAATCGCTTTTCACCAACAGCATTTTCAAAGGATACACAAATTAACTGATTCATCTGGCTTTGAAAAATGAACAATGCGTCTGGATAATGCAGCAGTGTTTTGGTAATTTTAATAATAGTTTGTGGACAGTGAGAACACAAACTTTCAGTTTTGTCTCTTTTCCATCTGTATGATTAAATCATATCAGGATTATCGACCAAAATAAAAATCCTGCTATTATTTTTACTTTTATATAACATATATACATGCGTAAAATCATAAGACATTGATATAGAGATTTATATCAGAGAGTTCATCAACACTACTTATAAATTAAGCTTGGATATATAAATATAAATAGTATATAGTATATAATGCCATTAACTCCGGATGCTGTAATGTTCCCCTCAATATCGTCAACAGGCAACACGTTCTTTGTAATTTTGTCAGTTACCTCGACATTGCAGTGGGCATGGATTTCATTTGGAGTTAATCTTAAGCGACGCGATAAAGGCAATTAGTTTATTTTTGCTTGAAATTAGATAGTTGCCTTTGACGTCTGATTTCAGCTCGTATTCATTCTGTATTCGTGCTGCTCTTCCTCTGGTAGATTATACGATTGATGAACACTTGTACCTATACGCTATACAGTTAACATTTTTATAGTTATTGTTTCCATTTTTTTTAAGTGAAAACTTTACCACTATTCCCAATTGCCTTTTTCTGTTTTCTTCATATCTGTCATTTACGAAATATGTTTTACACCAATGTCTGTTGTAAGAAGCACCTCTGTGAGCGCTCATGGCGGTGTTCTGTATAGGAACTTTCTTTTTCGGTGTTATTTCACGTGTAGGCATTGCTATTTCTTGTTAATATGTAGATAGACTGGTCATTACTATTATGTTGAACAACACCATATCAGTTATTCCCTCCTATGGTAAAGCATTCAATTAAAAAAAAAAAAATGGTTGGCTCTACGTTTTACACCGGGTTTTTCTACACTGCTTGAAAGGATTCAGTCCGGCTAGGAATGCTTTGTAATGTTATACCTTTTAATTATTATAGTATATGATATGAAAGTACAAAATCCAGAGAGCTTGTTAGGTAGGGGCTGTCCCAATCACCTGCTCTCTGGATTGGAACATGTGATAGTTTGTTTAAATTTATTAATATATTACGTATTTTAGCTGTTCCTAACAAAAATATGATATGGTCTATATATTTTTACATTAAGATGATTGATCCCTGTTATGTAACTATATGTTTTTACACTGTGTAACTATATACTTGTACGATGTAATTGTGATATATGATACTATAATAAACAAAATTGACTTGATTTGACTTGTTATAGTTCTCCCATAAGAGGTTGATAATGTCTGACCAAAAATAATCTGCCAAAGTGGAGGTTTTGACCGATTTAAAACAATAATATTAACATAATTAGTATTAGTATTTACAGGTAATTTTTTAATCGGGTTACATGCCAGTATAAAGAGATTGCCGTAAAGATATCAAAGTGTTTACCACAAACAATATACGTATTAAACGTGTCGCAACGTTTCAAGACCGATTGTTCCCTTTTTGTATTTTGGTACAGGTAAAAATACAAATCGTCGTCATCATTATCATCATCATCATCATCATCTGGTTTCCTGACATTCCTTGCATTATTATTATTATTATTTGATTATACGTAATTCTCTTCTTTTTTTTTCAAATGTTCAAATTGGATTTTATTCCCCCAGCATCTTTTGAGAGGGATGCCAGGGTGGGGGTGCCCCGGATTCATCCCTCTTGCATAATATAGCATCACGCAGGAGGCGTCCTTCCCTTCATTCGCTCCTTCTTTTTCATTTCCTCTCTCAACCTCCAAATCATTTATTCTTTCATTCTCATTCACTACAATAATAATAATATTTAATTTGATCAAAATGATATATTACTTACCCAAACCATTTCTTCTATTCATATTCAAATATTGACAGTACATGTACATTCATATTTATAAATTCATTTTTATGCTATAAAATCATGCTTTCTTGATTTGGGATTGCTATAATTTCCTTAAATTCAAACCTGATAAACTGAATTTATGTAAATGAAAAAGATGATGTTCTTTTATGTATTATTTGAAATAATTCAAAAAGAATGTCTGGAGAAATACAAATGTACAAATACGAATGTACCTACCAACTTAAACCTATATGCATAGACACAAAAGCATAAACAGTGTACAATCATGTGAAATTTAACTACACGTACATACTATGCATATATAAATGAAGTAAACACACAATCGAGACGACAAAAATATAACAGGAGTCCTACATACCACACATAATTGTACACACATACACTCACATACAGGTACAAACTGCTACATGTTACATAGGTACACCCCACACACATACACATACATACACACACCCACACATACAGGTACAAACTGCTACATATTACATAAGTACATCCCACACACACACACATACAGGTACAAACTGCTACATATTACATAAGTAAATCCCACACACACACACACACATACACCCACACATACATTCACATACAGGTACAAACTGCTACATATTACATAAGTACATCCCACACACATACACACATACATACACACACCCACACATACAGGTACAAACTGCTACATATTACATAGGTACACCCCACACACATACATACACACACCCACACATACAGGTACAAACTGCTACATATTACATAAGTACATCCCACACACATACACCCTTGCATGCCTGACAGCATATATATATACATATATATACATTGCAAACATTCTTTATATTAGGACATTAATATGTGCATACATCAATCCATTCTATTACAATACACTGTGGTAATAGCGATCGCCGAAGCGAGGCAGATTAATAAAGGTCACAGCATGCTTGTGATCATAGACATGTTTTCGGTATACTATCATCATTACGTGATCATAGACATGTTTTCGGTATACTATCATCATTACGTGATCATAGACATGTTTTCGGTATACTATCATCATTACGTGATCATAGACATGTTTTCGGTATACTATCATCATTACGTGATCATAGACATGTTTTCGGTATACTATCATCATTACGTGATCATAGACATGTTTTCGGTATACTATCATCATTACGTGATCATAGACATGTTTTCGGTATACTATCATCATTACGTGATCATAGACATGTTTTCGGTATACTATCATCATTACGTGATCATAGACATGTTTTCGGTATACTATCATCATTACGTGATCATAGACATGTTTTCGGTATACTATCATCATTACGAAGGTGCATGCAGATTATGTCAATAATTAACTCTCAGATCTCCTTTGACACATTGTTTATGTTTTTGTTTTTAATTCAAAGATTTATAAATTCAAAACACACATTAACGAAAGCGTTTTCGTTTTTAAATATAATATAAACAATGATTGTAAATAGCACCTTTGGACATGCTACTGTATGGATAATAGCGACCAGACTGTATGTTAATAGCGATTGCGGCTTTATATTACTGTATGGTTTATTGGATTAAACGTTTTTTTCTCACACAGATGGACAATTTCGAGTGCAGTTACTGCCAAAAGAGCTGTACTGAGTTTAGTGAAATACTTAAACATTGTAATAGAAACTTAGGGAGAACGGTTAAACAAACGAAGAATTTTCTTATAGTTCCAGAGAGATAGAAGTCTCATATATATATATCGAAATGTATTATACTAAACGATGAAAACTGCAGCGTAAGGATACAAAGACTTGATCCACTTTTATGTTCCCCGTTTAGTCGATAGTCGACGACCAGGACCCGTACTCATGAAACAATTTTCATGCACAAGCATGGATTTTGTGCTTAAACCAACTTTTTTTTAAATAACTCAGTTAAATCATGTAAAACTATCAAAATGTCAAATGTAAACATTGAAAACAATATTCGGCTTATCAATATATTACAAAATCATTGACGAAATAAGATTTTATTATTAATTCATAACGGAAACAAGAAATTAGGTTTGAGCACAAAATCCATGCTTGAGCATGAGAACAGTTTCATGAATACGGGCCCTAGTAGCTCATCTGTCCGAAGGGTCCCGGGTTCGAGCCCCAGTCTGGCCATTACATCTCCTCTTTTTCCTTATACCCATGGAAGGTGGTATACGGTCTGGTGTGTCTTCGGGGTCGAAGACTTTGTTGAAGGAGGGAGGAATGTAGCGGAACTGGACTGGGTCGATCGTCGGCGTCCAGGCACCTCAACCGGTTAAAGCGTCAGTCAAGAGTTCGGAGGGTTCCGGGTTCGAACCCCGGTCTGGGCGTTGTATTTCTCTTTCTCCTGTTACACATCTATAGTATACATGAATGAAAAAAGTCCATCACATAAAAATGGGGAGGAAAACTTTAATATAAAATTAAGTTACTTTTGAGAGGTTAGAAAGAAAACCAGCATCTTTCTAGTTAATTACCTTTCTGTAAACGGAATTGCTTCGTTTTTGACGGTCAAACGTATAACACAATGACAGCTTCAAATGATAGACATAAAAGCCAAGCCAAACACTTACTATCATATTGTTTTACTATAGGTATTTTTTGAAATATAAATTTGAGCCCGGACAGGTTCTGCCCATGATACCGGGGCAAGTTCGGCCCATGCAACTGATCCTTGCAGGTAGGGCGTAATAATTTTACCTGCTGCCCCCATTGCATGATCGTAAGAGGCGACTTAATTTGTGATCTTAAATTTTCTCTTCTTTCTAAACAATTTTCTTCTTCCTAATCTCTCCTTTCACAATGCCTCACTTTTGGCCTTTAGTTGAGCGTTCGCCTCTGTGAGGAAAGCTTTGTGTTCTGTCCCCTGGCCGAGACATACCATAGTCTGTAAAAATGGTAGTTTCTACTCCTGCATAACGCTCAGCATT